TCAAAAGTTAAGGACACTTGGTCCTGAACTTACAATAACAAGGTCATAAGTTTAGGACACTTAGTCCTGAAGTTAGAGTTGCAAATTCAAAATTTAAGGACAGGTAGTCCTTAACTTACAGTTACAAGTTCAAAAGTTAAGGACACTTGGTCCTGAAGTTAGAGTTGCAAATTCAAAAATTAAGGATATGATGTCCTTAACTTACAGTTACAAGTTCAAAAGTTAAGGACACTTGGTCCTGAACTTAGACTTACTAGCTCATAAATTAAAGGACAATTAGTCATGAACTTAGAGTAACAAACTCATAAGTTAAGGATAATTGGTCCTGAACTTAGAGTGGAAGTTTAAAAATTAAGGACACTTGGTCCTGGACTTAGACTTACAAGCTCATAAATTAAAGTCTTGAACTTAGAGTAACAAGCTCATAAGTTAAGGACAATTGGTCCTGAACTTAGAGTGGAAGTTCAAAAATTAAGGACACTTGGTCCTGAAGTTAGAGTTGCAAATTCAAAAATTAAGGACAGGTAGTCCTTAACTTACAGTTACAAGTTCAAAAGTTAAGGACACTTGGTCCTGAACTTAGACTTACAAGCTCATAAATTAAAGTCCTGAACTTAGAGTAACAAGCTCATAAATTTAGGACATTTAGTCATGAAGTTAGAGTTGGAAGCTCAATACACTTAGTCCTGGATTTAAAATTACAAGTTTAAGACACAAATGTAAGCAATTAAGAAATAATGAATACATTTAGGGACTTACACTTTTTTGCGACCTTTCCTTTTCTCCTTTCCCAACCACCCAATGAATTTCTTCAATAAGTTTTCATCATCTTTGGCATAATGAAAAATACATGTACGAGTATATTTTGATTTTATCCAGCCTGTATACTTAGGAGTATTTTCATTGTGCGCCATCGATGTTCCTCTTTTTCTTTTCTGTTCAAAAGGAGATTTCAATTGCCAACTAAGCTTCTTATTCCTTTTCCCTCGACCAAGCTCTTCTTCAACATTTCCTTCAACCTCCATAGACAAACCCTCATCAATGCTCATTTGTGTAGTCGGAGGAGTAGGAGTAAGAATAGCAAATGATGGACCATCAAAACCAATACTATCTCTCTTAATTTTCCTAGTATATTGGTTAACGGCTTCATTTTTATTTTCCTCTGCAAGCAACACTACATATACATTAGTTTGCTGCAAGTCGTCAATTCTATGAATTGTCAAATGAAGAGACAAAAACTAAGGACATAATTTTTGAAATATCCTGACAATTTAAATTATGAATACAATATTAAGGACACAATCAATACCTGTGTTGTCCACGCTGCCTTCTTGTATTTCTTTAACAGACAATGGTGCTGACATATTGCTTGCATTTTCTTTATCTTGCAACTGTTCTCCATGTTCTTCGATTGCAAGTTCACAAGATTCTGCAAAATATTTACAGGAGCTAACACAATTAGTACTTGTTACTAATCTTTGATTAAAACAAACATGTATAAGATGAAAAAAAAAACTCTGTCTAACCTTTTGCAACTGTCAAGATCATGCCAGTTAAATCATTATTTTGACTAGCATTTTTTTGGCTTCCAATATTGTCTGTAAGAGAGAGAGATGTAGAGATATCATACGTTCCTTCTATACATTTGCAAACAATCTCACTTATGCTGTTCCTTGGATATTTTCTATGTCTTGAGATTGTCCTCCACTTCTCTCTTTTGAAATTTCATCATCTTGATAGTCCACTCCATCTTGTATAGTCGGAGGAGTAGGAGTAAGAATAACAAATGATGGACCATCAAAACCAATACCATCTCTCTTCCTTTTCCTAGTATATTGGTTAACAGCTTCATTTTTGTTTTGCTCTGCAAGCAACACTACATATATATATTAGTTTGCTGCAAATCCTCAATTCTATGACAAATTGTCAAATGAAGAGACAAAAACTAAGGACATAATTTTTGAAATGTCCTGACAATTTGAATTATGAATACAATATTAAGGACACAATCAATACCTGTGTTGGCCACGTTGCCTTCTTGTATTTCTTTAACAGACAATGGAGCTGACATATTGATTGCATTTTCTTTATCTTGCAACTGTTCTCCATGTTCTTCGATTGCAAGTTCACAAGATTCTGCAAAATATTTACAAAAGCTAACATAATTAGTACTTGTTACTAATCTTTGATTAAAACAAACATGTATAAGATGAAAAAAATTCCGTCTAACCTTTTGCAACTGCAAGATCATGCCAGTTAAATCATTATCTTTACTAGCATTTGTTTGGCTTTCAATATTGTCTGTAAGAGAGAGAGGTGTAGAGATATCATATGTTCCTTCTATATATTTGCAAACAATCTCACTTATGCTTGTTCCTTGGGTATTTTCTATGTCTTGAGATTGTCCTCCACTTTTCTCTTTTGAAATTTCATCATCTTGATAGTCCACTCCATCTTCTTTCCTTGCAGTTTCAAAAGATTCTGTAACATTTACAATTAATACTTGTTACTAATAGTTTACTAAAACTAACATTCAACATGTCATGAAAATTCCATCTAACCTTGATTGGCATCATTTTGATTTCCAAATTTCTCTTTAAGTGAGAGAGGTGTAGATAGATCATATATTTTTTCAACACATTTGCATACAATCTCACTTATACTTGTTCCCAATGGATTTTCTAAATCCTGAGATTGCACTCCAGACAAGATGGAATGGAATCTCACTTGTCTCTTTTGGATTTTTCTGGTCTTGACATTCCATTACATCTTAAACTTGTACTCCATCAAAAGATTCTACACACATTTGTAATCACAAAAAAGTTTATATGTATTATGCTATTGAATATAAATTTCAATGATAACAAATTCAAAAACTGTATCTAACCTTTCCCAATTTCGATGCCAATATCAGTTTCATCTTCTAGATGCGCATCTCTATAATCGCTTTCATAATGAAATTCTACATGCACATCTATATCATCACATTAATCATCAACTGCATATTTGCTAATTGGAACACTAGGTTCTCTCTCTATGGTCCTTTCATGAGGTTTGTCAAGACGCTTCAATAAAGTATCAATCTTTGATCCTAGGTTTTTCTTTAAAGCCTGTGAGATATTATTTAAAATAAGAATCGGAATGTTAGCTGCTTATAAGTTACGGACATTGGTCCTTAACATAGAGGTACAAGCTCACAAATTAAGGACAAATGTTCCTTAACTTAGAGTTACAAGAACGGAAATTAAGGACATGTAGTCCTGAATTTAGAGTTACAAGTTAAAAATTTAAGGACAAATAGTCCTAAACTTCAAGTTACAAGCACAAAAATTAAGGACAGGTAGTCCTGAACTTAGAGTTCCAACTTAAAAAAATAAGGACATGTAGTCCTCAACTTAGAGTTACAAGTTATAAAGTTAAGGACATGTAGTCCTGAACTTAGAGTTACAAGTTAAAAATTAAGGACATGTAGTCCTGAACTTAGAGTTACAAGTTAAAAAGTTAGGACAAATAGTCCTAAACTTCAAGTTACAAGCACAGAAATTAAGGACAAGTAGTCCTGAGCTAAGAGTTTCAACTTAAAAAAATAAGGACATGTAGTCCTGAACTTAAAGTTACAAGTTATAAAGTTAAGGACATGTAGTCCTGAACTTAGAGTTACGAGTTAAAAAGTTAAGGACAGGTAGTCCTGAACTTAGAGTTACAAGTTA